AATTGAAATTTCAGTTTTTTATTTCATATTATATTTGGTGTTGCAATACTTTTTTCCAGGTGTATATATATATGAGAATGAAAAATTCAGTTGAAATTTATGATTCTTCAACATATCAAGTTGTGTCACAGTGTTTTATTTAAGATATTATATTTGAACAAATGTTTTTGATGTAAAACTTGAACTACATGTGATAATAGATCAATGATTTTTTCCTATAAATTGCATTACTATCAGTACATATCAGTTTGACGACTATTTTAAATCTATAACATAAAATTAAATAGACCTAGAAAAATCGTCATTGTACCATTTCACATGCTTGGCTGTCTATTTGTATACATATTTATGTTTAGGTTATATAACCATCAGCTGTTTTCAGAGGTCAACTTAATGGATAATTAGATGGCTTCTAGACTGAAATTCACACAAAATTGTGAAACATTATAACAAGTACATGCATTGACTTTTGTTAATAGTTTCTTTTGGACTTTTTGTACCGTTATTTGGATACAGGTTTTGTGTGTTATGTCATGTATGTTTTGTATGAGCTGAAGTCTGTCTCCTGGTGCAGGATTTTCTTGCTGTATTGAAGACCCATTGGTAGCCTTGGACTGTTTTCTGCTCTTTGGTTAGGTTACAAAAAAAAAACTTGAAAAGAAAATTCCTCCTCACCCACTTGAAATATGACAACGACACCTCATTGAATAAGAATGTAACAATGAAATTTAATACAGACACAAATTAAAGCAGGCAAAATGATTTGAAAGGAACAATGAAAAAATCAGAAACATGTCCAGGGAATTAAACAATTTAAATTGTCTTAAATAACAAATGAAATGTTTTGTTGAGGAAAATGACAAAAGGTTTTAATGGTATTGAGATTTATTGATATACATGTAGTAGAATTTGTAGCCAGGTCATCTTCCCAAGCTAGCTACATTACACACAAATAGTATTTGATTTGCTATATTTAGGTTGATTATTTTATAATATGGCCTTATCTGATACAATGTAAGCTTGTGTCAGTGGCGTCACAATTCTCAGCTTGTCAGAGTAACATCAGAAAAATTATTTTCCATATTGACATCTTGTCTCAACTAAATATAACTAATCCAATGAATTTCATTATCCAAATTTGATAATTAACTACTAAAAATAAGAAAAATACATCCATTATTTCCAGATATATTGGTTTCCATGGTAACAGTATTGATTAATTCTACAATTGACATCTGTCACTGACAAAACTACCTTTGGGGTGTTTTACTAAAAATATGTAAAAATGTAGAGATAATGTTAGCTTTAGAGGAGTCATATTTATATTTATAACATTATAACAACTATGCAATTTTGATCATTTTAAACGTATCAGGTCAAATACCCTGTTTTCGTAAAACTGAATATCAAATTTTAAACATGTTTAAAATTTCACAGGTGGGCAGTTGAAAAATTTTAAAAAGGAATAAAAAATTGTTAAATCTACGTCATTTGGTTTCTGTCTCCTTTACAGTCATTAAACATCTTCTTTTTTTATATAAAGAGAAGACATAAATTAGATTTTAACATGTTAGTCTTTTTATACTTAAATTTTGCTATAAGCAGGAGAAGGGATAAAAAAGGCCAAGATAAGCTATAAAATGAAGAAGATACTTTTACTTTCATAAATACCTTTGATTAAGATATGACAAACACACTTGGTAATCAAACAAAAACAAAAGGGCAAACTCACAACAGTCACTAACACATTTGCCTTTGTTAATGTACCTGATGAGATATACTGCTTAACACCAGTAGTACAATATTACCCAACAATAATGCAACCAGCTTGATGGTCTTATAGTGTGCTTATAGGACCTTGCGGTCATAAAACTTTGGAGCACGATTATCATACTCTGACTCAGAAATTAACCAATCAAAATACTGGATTTGGTGTTTCGAGCACAAATTTTGTACTCAGAGTACTGAGTAAAGTTTTATGACCGAGGGCCCTAAGCTCAGGAGGTCCTCGATCCCCAGCTGAATCAAACCAAAGTCTTTAAAATTGGTATTTGCTGCTTCTCTAGTGAACATGCATCATTAAGGGGATATGGCATAGACTTGTATGTTTTTAACCTTAGAGTTAAAATAGTGTGTCTGATTAACTTGATGTGTCTTTCAAAAGCCAAAAGACACAATGCATTTAATAGCCTGTAAACAGACACTGTTGTCATGGTTATAAAGAAAAAATAACATTGTCTTATGATTTTCATAATCATCAATGATAACAAATGACTTAAAATCAATTAAAAATGAAAAAGAAAAACAGTTTTCAAACCAAGATTGAATTAATCATGGTTAAATCAAATTTATTTGTTAAATATTTATAAGGTAAAGATCCCCACAATAACTTTATAAGTATCCAAGAAACTATCTTAAAAGTTTTAACAACCACTTGTAATTTAATGAATTTATATGAAATAGGAAATGTCCATGGGACAGAGTTACAAGAGGGTGATTAAATGATGTAAATCAACCAAATTAATCATAGATTGCGAAAGAATGTTTCCATTCAGTGTTTTTAAAAATAAGATGTGGTTTGATTGCCAATGAGACATTTCTCCTCCAGAGACCAAATGATGTAGAAGGTAAGCAACTATAGCTCACCATACGGCCTTCAACAATGAGAAAAACCCATACTGCATAGCAAGCTGTAAGATGCAGCGAAATGACAAATGCTAATTAATTCACACAAGAAACCAACAGCCTGATTTATGTACATAACAATAAACATTAAACAAATATGATATACAGCAACAAACAACAACCACTGAATTACAAAATTGGTGGCATGATAACTCTCCCCTAACCTAGGACAGTTGTGTAACAGCACAACATAAGAACAAACTATAAAAATCAGTTGTAAACGGCTTTTGCATTTTTAGCAAATTTTTGTAATTTGTACAATCTCAGAAATGTTTATTCTTTTAAAGTAGAAGTTCTGGTGACATTTGTATGCCTATTCTTTTAATACTTTAATGACAGGCAATTATAATGACTAGTAAATATTGGCCTTTCTAACTCACCTGGCCTATAGTGCCAGTTCTGATATTGGCATCACTTTTTATTAACTCACCTGGCCTATAGTGCCAGAGTTCTGATATTGGCATCACTTTTTATTTGTCATCCACATAAGGTGACCTTGAATATGCATGTAATATTTGCCCCTGGACGTTAAACAGTCATCAATTAATCAATTAACCGCTGAAGCTATCTGTAAAGTTTTTGTGTTTTCATTTTTTCTTTTAAAATGACTGGTCTGATTGAAGCAATGGAAAGAGTAATATATTGGAAGCCCTTTCTTGACTGTGACTGGTGCTATCAACCTATTACAGTTCATTCAAAATTCTAACCCAATAGACTATTTGTTTTATCAAATCAAACTGGTCAACTGGTCAAAAATTTTAACCAACTGCTATCCATGGCTGTAGAAAAAAACACTAAAGTCATTGAAGTGCAAAGTGATAAAATAAAGCATACTTACAATCCTATAAGATTCTTTTTATCTTTATGTTTATTAATCATTTCCATCAGATGCAGTTTTTTTAATCCTTACCTGTAGATGAATTTAAATTTTTTTTGGTGCTATAAACCTGCGGTCAAAATCTAAAAGACTTTAGGAATAATGAATTGAAATTGAAATTGAATTAAATAAAGAATTTTTAAGATTGTAGGCAAAGTTTTGGTTTAAAAAAATCCAAAATCTAAGTGACGATTTTTTAAAATTTGTAAGGAAATGTCAAGACTTTTTGAGTGTCATTTTGTGTAAGACTATATATGTATTCTGTAAACAGGAAGTTGTTGAGCATTAAAATCCATCACATAGTAACGCTAGCTCACATGATGCTTGATACCAACTTTTAGGAAACTCTGATAAGTAGTTCCTGAGAAAAGCACAACACAAATTTTATGTCATGAACAAACATAAACCAGTAAAGGGGGAAATTAGGAGTTTAGTTTGACATATCTGTACTTTTTTTAATTTACTTTATTTTGCATCTGTCGCACACAATTAATTTGAAATTTATAGTTGTATATTAAACTGCATTGATCTTTTAAAAAAACAAATATCATGTAAAGGTTTTATGCTGTCGATAAATGTCAGTTTGACTTCCTTAGTTTATTTTATTACCATTTTATTTCCTAGTACATTTGTTACATGTATTTGATCTGCCTCTTTACCATATTCAATAAGTTTATCTACCAAATATAACTGTATGTAACATGAGATTTTATTAAGTGTGCCCTTGAAAATTTTATAAGATTGATAAAGATATTTGTTGTAGGCGTAATGCTGTGTTATATACAGGTATTAGATTTAGCTAATTCCTTATTTACATACAAATTTCACTGGCTACTGGTGTGATGACATCTTTACTACATACATGTACAGTGGTATTCAGAGTTTTTGCATCTGTCGAAAAAATTCATTTAAAATTAAATGTTGTATATTAAACTGTGAATAAAGTGCTTTGATCTTTTTTTTGTAATTGTGTGTCCCTTTATTCCATGCAACCAAATAAACAGTCTCCTATTTTTATGTAGTTTATGCTCCTTTTTGTGTCAGTATTACTTGGGCAATTCATTTCAACCACCATGACCACAGAGGCTATCTCTTCTGTTCTAAAAGAGGGACGAAAGATACCAGAGGGACAGTCAAACTCATAGATCGAAAACAAACAGACAAATAATAGTACAGATGACACAACATAGAAAACAAAAGACCAAGCAACATGAACCCCACCAAAAACTGGGGGTGATCTCAGGTGCTCCGGAAGGGTAAGCAGATCCTGATGGCTACAATATTAATTTATGGCTGATCTGTAAGGTTTTTAAATGCTCACACAGAGAAAACTAAAGATTTTGAAGTTTGTACTTTTCCCTTATACCAGGGTAGTTGAAATCTTGTGTATTCATGTTGTTGATACAGTGCTAAAAGTTCAATATGTTTTTCTTTTCAGGGTCTTGAAATTATAAACATGATTGTCCCTGCTAATAATTGAGAACAAAGAACAAATGTAGATGATAGTTGTGACAGATTCATACAGGAATATCATAGCTGCAGAAATACAAAAAAATCAGTGTTATAAAGAAATAAATGAGCTTGGCTGTTATATTAGAGGAAAATAGGATTAGAATTTCAAGGTAAAGTATAGCAAAACATTTGAAATGTTTTTTGGGGGTTTTTAAAGATCAGGCAACATTAGATTAAGGATTAAATTTGATGAAATATATTTTTTTGTTCTCATTGCCATGCCAGTGTTTTATTATGTAAGGATTGATATCATCTATGTATAAAAAGCTGTATAAAGTTTATTTTGGGACAAATTCTGTTCCTGTTTAATCTTAAATTACATTGCAGGTTATTTTGCATCATCCATATATCAAACAAAAATCATATGAAGTATCTTTAAAATATTTTGTGAAGTTAAGTATAAGATCAATTGTATAATTCTTATTTATTATCATAAAATTGAGAATGGAAACGGGAAATGTGTTAAAGAGACAACAACCTGACCAAAGAGCAGAACACAGCCCAAGGTCACCAATGGGTCTTCAATACAGTGAGAAAATCCTGCATCCAGGGGCAGCAGGCTTCAGCTTATCTTACATATGTGTCCAATTTTGGTTGAAAAACTTGCAAGAAATATTCATTTTGAGTAGAACTGTTTTTTTTATGAACATCTTTCTGAGATCGTCTTGACTTAGACTTTGCCTGAAATTTTATGACTTCTGATATTTCAATCTTTACACGTTGTCACTATCGAAGTTTTCCATCAGAAACTTGGTCAAAGAAAAGATTGAACAATAGAAAATGAAAGGATATGGAGTAAATGTACAAGAAAACTTGGTCAAAGTCATCTGTTGTCACTATCAAAATTTAACATAAAAAACTTGGTCAAAGAAAAGGCAGGAGTTCAATGTTTACAAAAAAAATAAATATGGCTCAAATATACTTCTCACAGAATAACTGCACTGCACATCGATGTATTCTGTATGTTACCATTTTAAGAAGGTGAATTAGAGTTTGTACAAGAGTAAGAAAAAGGGGGATAAGAAACTGGTTACTAAGAAAAAGACAAGAGAAGTACCTCCCACTCTTGACATCAAGAACTTCACAGTAAGGACCTATTGAAATTCAGGAATTATTTAAGAATGAACCTTAGCCATACGAGCATGTTGGGTTAGTTTTCATTACACATTTCTAATTAATTTTCAAGAATTCAAAATGATTCCAGATTCAAATAATTCCTTGTTTGGAGCTCATCCTACATTTCTTGCCAATTTTGCCATGTGCTATTGTTTTATAAACTAGAATTACATCATGCCAAAACTGCACTGTGATTGGCTTATTCCTGTCAAAGTTTCAAGAACACTAGGATGAGATTCTGTTCCACCAAGGTTTCTTGGTCAAAGAAATCTTTGATAGTGACAACAGGTCTTTATGTTAGCTGAAAATTTTCTGAATTCATACCAATCATTTTGCTGAATGATATGAAACATAGGTAAAATAGAGAATGGAAATGAGGAATGTGTCAAATAGACAACAACCCGACCAAAGAGTAAAAAAAACCAGCCGAATTCCACCAATGGGTCTTCAGCACAGCAAGAAAATCAAGCACAATCCCTCCCGTTAGGTGTTTAGTATCAATACCATCATAAAATATATGAGAAGAACATAACCCGTATCATGCCAACAACTGGTTTTAGAATACATGTTTATTTCCGATGCAAAGACCCTATATTTCTAACACTCAAATGTAATTCAGAAAGCTTCAAGCTTCTATTTAAATTACTTTGATATACCCGGTAGTGTTTAAAGCACTTTACAATTTCAATTGTTGTAAAAAGTTATTACAGTGACATGAGTGTATTATCAGATTTACTACATTTTTGTACTTATAAGTATCAGTATTAAATTTGAAACCTGCTTCGTAATGATGACATTTAAAATCTATGACCCGCACAAGTACAGAAAATGTCAGAATCGTGTGAATCTCTAGCATAATCTATTTATACATGCATGTGATAACGTTTTGTAACACATATTGGTTCCAAGCCAATCAAACTGCAGCCACAGAACTATTTAAATTTTACGACATAGGGGTAAAACATCGGCAACCAGAATGTCAAATATAAAAAGGTTCCTTAAAAAATATGAAAAACAAGATTAATAAAGTCTTGAGTTGAATACTGTATGACCAAGATTTCTCTGTTAAGAATCAATATTTGTTGCTATTCTGAAATCTTGTTTTTGATAAGCTCAGGCAGAACTTCATTATGTTGACCCCTTGTACTGGATCAATAAACTGTAATCATTCATGCAGAAAGGAGCAATACACAGTCAGTCAACCATGAAAACATGATGTAATTTTGATGTAACCAATCAAAAAGTGGAATATTAGATGATCATTGGAAATATCGTGTAATCATTGAAGCATAAGACATTTAATGAAGATTATTGATAGAACTACAGTATCAATTGTAACCAAAGCTATGCTGTACATATCCTAATGGATTATTTCTTCTGATCATGGTAATAGGTTTAAAGTAACCTATGATGAACTTCAATAACCTTGCTTTAATCATTACTTCTAAGAATCAGGCTGATAAATCAAGTCTTTAAATCTATTTGATTTATATATGTGCTGTATTATTCAGGTAAGGATGGCTTTTTCTAGGCTTTCAGGGCCTTTTATAGCTTACTATGAGTATGAGTTTTGCTCATTGTTGAAGGCTGTACAATGACCTATAGTTGTTAACCTTTACATCATTAGGTCTCTGGTGGAGAGTTGTCTCATTGTTAATCGTTCAACATCTTTATATTTTGTTATTTTTACCCTGATTTGTAATTTGTCAAATTTGGGCTGATTTCCCCTTAGGTTATCTACATAGAGGTTTATCTTGATATAGGTTCCCTAACAAAGAAACTATAATCATATAACATAAATAAATAAAAAGAGATTTGGGGTATACAAGTTTCAAATTTTTAATCTCTCTCCCATGTAATTGAAATCTGACAATCTCAATTGAAATTTTTGTATAATTTTAGTTGAATTATTAAGAGAATAGACAAAAAATAGAAGCAAGCAAAACTCTTGTTGTGATGCATTATGTTTATTACTGTGGGTAATTAGCTTTTTGTGCCCTGGGTAACTGGCTTGATGGAAGATATGTCTGCTTCTGTTCTGTGGGTCAGCATTTGACAACCATCACTATCCATGTACACCTATAACTGACTTGATGTAAGATATGTCTTCTTCTGTTCTGTGGGTCAGACAATCATCACTATCCATGTATACCTATAACTGACTTGATGTAAAATATGTCTACTTCTGTTCTGTGGATCAGTCAGTCATCACTATCCATGTCTCCTTCTGTTCTGTGGATCAGACAACCATCACTATCCATGTAAACCTATAACTGACTTGATGTAAGATATGTCTACTTCTGTTCTGTGGATCAGACAACCATCACTATCCATGTATACCTATAACTGACTTGATGTAAGATATGTCTACTTCTGTTCTGTGGATCAGACAGTCATTACTATCCATGTAAACCTATAACTGACTTGATGTAAGATATGTCTACTTCTGTTCTGTGGGTCAGACAATCATCACTATCCATGTATACCTATAACTGACTTGATGTAAAATATGTCTACTTCTGTTCTGTGGATCAGCATTTTACCACCATCACTACCCTTGTATGCCTAGGTATCTTGGATAAGTATTTTTAATGGAAACCATCTACCAAATTCCCCTTCCCATTAGGACTTAACTCTTGAAATCTAATCATATTAACTAAATACCTCTAAAAAAGTGTATAAAACCATAAACTATTTGTTTGAATACATTATGTCCTCCTGTGTTTGAAAGCCCTCTTGGAGGTTTTAAAAATTGGCAGTTATGAAATTTCTATTGTATTTAATTTGACTGATGGAATGAAAGGATAAGGAATTTATTATTACTGGTCAGAAGAGCAAGGTAACTGGACCATGTTTGACTAAAGGGAGAAACAGACAAACATTCATGTTGTTAGAATAGCCATTTGGAATATGGTAACAAATATAAAAATAGGGAGATTTGGTATGATTGCCAATGAAACAACTACCAAAATGTATCCACCAAAGACCAAAGGACAAGGATAAATATATACATGTATAGGGCACTGTACAGCCTTCAACAATGAGCACAACACATACTTTATTGTAAGCTAAGATAAAATAGAAGCCACTGGGACAACACAATATTAAACAGTTCAAAAGAGAAAATTAGGAATAGTAACAGTCTCCTTGTAAAATACAATATCTAATGTAAATCTGGCAAGTTGTATATCTTCATATTATCTTCAGTCATGTGCTAAGTGAAGTCAGAAATGTTTTTTCTACAGATTTCTGTATGATTACAAACTGATGACTTTTGTTTTTTCACTTAATTTAACCTGTGTTTTCATAGAGCTCCTCTGTTTAAAGTTAAAGCATTATATTGTCAATAAAACTGCTGTTCGACATTAAGGCATCAAAGCAGTGCGCATTAGAAACAGATTGGATTTTGGCAATGTTCCAAGTTCTTATGAGGGGGAGGAGGATCTCACACCTGCCAAAAATAATTAATGTTGTTTCAAAGTTTAAAATTTAACTTTCCCCATGTTACGAGGGTCTACAGGGAAGATGGATTTCAGGTGGTATGCATTTATAAGTATATCAGCTTCTGAATTTTAACATGTCATTTATGGGTATTAAGTACTGTTGTTAGCAGCACAACTTTTTAGATTTGGAATGATATAAAGCATGATATATTGTGTAGACACTTGTTTATTGTTGAAGAATGTACATTAACAATGAGATGTGTTTTGATTTCTGTGTCCTTGGGTTGCTGTTTCAGTGGTATATAACCATTATCTCATTTCATTCATATTTACATGTTGTTTTGTATAATGAATCAACATCTTTTGATATTATTTTGCAGTAAACAGTGTCTTAATTTAATTAAAGTGGTCCTAAATTATTAAATAAACAATGTCCAGAAAACTAATGCCAATTACCTGTATTGTTTTGAGTCATCTTGAGTTTGTTCTGCAAGCAAGGAAAGACAAACACTGGATTTTATCTCTAGAACACCCTACAAAATAATACCCCAAAACTTCCTTCAAAACTGTATTCAATTTCCACTTGTAAACCTATAGAGAAAACACTTGACAGTCTCATCTAACAAAGCTCCTTCAGTAATTAATTTGTGATAGAGAAAGATGATAGCATTATTGTTAAACGATTAAACTGAAAAAACCCAAAACAATTGAATTGTAAATGATCAGCTGTAAACTTAGTGTATGAACAAGGAGAGATGTAGGTATAGGCCAGTGAGAAGGAACTCAACGATAGAATTAACCTCAAAAGACATCCTGAGTTCAACATACAGTACTCAACAATAAACAAGTGACAACATGTGTTTTTTTTAGCTCACCTGGCCTGAAGGGCCAAGTGAGCTTTTCTCACCACTTGGCGTCCCTTGTTCGTCGTTGACGTCGCCGTTAACTTTTACAAAAATGTTCCCCTCTGAAACTACTGGGCCAAATTTAAGCAAACTTGGCCACAATCATCATTGGGGTATCTAGTTTAAAAAATGTGTCCGATGACCCTGCCCGCAACCAAGATGGCCGACATGGCTAAAAAAAGAACATAGGGTAAAATGCAAGTTTTGAAATTATTTTGTTAACTGTTTTAAATAGAGAAAATCTTACAAAGCAAAAATGTTAAGAATGTTGAGCTCTACCAATTGTCCAGATACGTCAAAACTGTCAGACAACTTCTTTATAGGAGTTATTGCCCTTTAATGACAAATTTAACCTTTTTATTCATTTTTGCCTATTATCTGGAAAACTATGATAGATAGATGGAAAGAAACTTTGAATTGCAAAAATGATCAGCAAGACAAGTTCTTCAAATAATTCCACAAGGTCGAAGTCCTTATTAGAGTAATTGTCTTTTGATGACGATTTTTACCATTTTTTTGCGTTTTTGCCTTATCTTAAAAATTAAAATAGATAGATAGAAACTTGAATAAGCAAAAATGATCAGCAAGATAAGATCTATAATAAAAACTTATGGAGGAAATCCTCCGACGACTCCTTATTGGAGTTATTGCCCTTTAATAACGATTTTTACCATATTTTTTTGCGTTTTGCCTTATATGATAAAAATTATAATAGATAGATAGAAACTTAAATAAGCAAAAGTGATTAGCAAAATAAGATCTACAAGAAAGACAATTTGGACAAAATCGTCAGACGACTCCTTATTGGAGTTATTGCCTTTTATTGACGATTTTTACAATTTTTTTGCGTTTTGCGTTATATGAAAAAAATTATAATAGATAGATAGAAACTTAAATAAGCAAAAATTATCAGCAAGAAATCAGCAAGAAAAGATCTACAATTAAGACTATTGGAGGAAATTATCAGACGACTCCTTATTAGAGTTATTGCCTTTAATACGATATTTACCTTTTTTTTTGCGTTTTGCCTTATATGATACAAATTATAATAGATGAATAGACACTTTAGATCACAAAAATGATCAGCAAGGCAAGATCTTCAAACAAGTCAAATTTTGCCAATATAGTTAGTAGACTATCACTCTTTATAGATGTCAATGCCCTTAAATGAGGATTTTTTTTTACCCTCTTTTGTGTTTGGAGCAAAAAATAAAGAAGATAGAGAGAAACTAAACGGATAAATGATCAGCAATACAAGATCAACAAAACATAGATTTTTGTCATTAATTCTATTCTTGTCCACAATGTTGGAGACTGTCCTTTGTTGAATATGCACATAGACCAAGGTGAGAGACACAGGCTCTTTAGAGCCTCTAGTTTGTTTAACAATTTTTATCAGAAGAATAGTATATAAATACCAGAATTCAGATGAAAAACTAACTCACAAATCAGCCTTTTTTGTTTCAAAATTTACTGAAAATTTTCATTTTTTGAGGCGATTAGAATTTTTTTATATTTAATAATCAGTGTAATATTTTGATTTGTTTTCAGGTTTGTACGTGCAGTGAAATGATGAGAGAATGACATTTCAGTGGCAAAAGTTAAGTCCTACTGAGTTCCATCAACTCCAGGAATATATATCTTGTAAGTATAAAAGTTAAGTCCTACCGAGTTCCATCAACTCCAGGAATATATATTTTGTAAGTATAAAAGTTAAGTCCTACCGAGTTCCCTCAACTCCAGGAATATATATCTTGTAAGTATAAAAGTTAAGTCCTACCGAGTTCCATCAACTCCAGGAATATATATCTTGTAAGTATAAAAGTTAAGTCCTACCGAGTTCCATCAACTCCAGGAATATATATCTTGTAAGTATAAAAACATTACATGTCCTTGACCTCTTTTTGGTTAATAGAATCAGTGTAAGGTGTACATATATAAAAATAAGGAGATGTGGTATGATTGCCAATGAGACAACTATCCACCAAAGTTCAAATGAAGTGGATGTAAGTAATTATAGGTCACTTTACAGCCCTCAACAATAAGAAAAACCCATACCAGATATTGGGCTATAAAAGGCACTGATATGAAAATGTAAAACAATTCAATTGAGAAAACTAATTGCCTAATTTATAACAAAACAATTTACGAAAAACAAATATGACAGAGATGAACCAATGACAACCAATGAACTACAGGCTCCTGATGCCTGAATGCCTGGTTGACTAGTGTCAGTTGACCATAATATCATGGTTCAATCGTCAGTGTTATTTTTTCATGTTTAAGCCAAGTTGTTCAATTACCATGGAAAAATAAACCATCCTTGATTGGTCTTTACTATCATTGTGATGTGTAAATATTCATCTGAAGTATTTATACACAATTACCTTTCTCAACTGTATACTTTGATTGTTGCTGATATGAGGGTGGTAAAGGAGGGACCTGAACACGGAAACACATGAAATAAAAATCGAAAAAACGTTGCACGGAAAATAAAAATCGGGAAAAACGCAACATGAGAAATTAAATCGTAAATATTAAGGAAAAATATACTAGAAGTTATTACTCGTCCGTTCTTGGAGATCATGCAGTCATTATTAATGGACATGAAGACCCTACGGTCACCTTTTAGCGTCCACTAGTTGCATCTGATTTGAAAAAAAAATATTATTCATAGTAATTTGATGGACTTTATTACATACCATACATATAATATAGAATTGTAAATATCCGAGGTGACTTTGAATTAGTCCCGGTTTACTTTTTAATCAAAATGGGGGACAAGCACGAGAAATTTAGAGTACCGACACGGAACACGGAAAATAAATAAGGGGAAACACGAAGCACGCACATCGAACCAAACATGAGAAAATGAGAAATAAAACGTCAAAACACGAAAACACATGAAATAAAAAATTCGAAAACGTTGCACGAAAATAACCCTTTACCACCCTCTGATATAAATGGGGATTCAGACAAGGGTTAAAACATAGAAAAATAAGTATATTTAACTTTAGTTCAAACATTTATATAGTTGCCTACTGTGGATTCATTACTGTAAACCAACATATTTTCACTGATGCTTTATTATGGGTTTTACACTTTCTTGCTGTCTTTGCAGCAATTTAATTTTTCTCAATTTCCAAATTTCTTGATGTATTTATATAAGCAGAAGATTCAAGTTTTACATATTGCCAACATTTAATGTTCTTGCTATTTTTCAACTCTTGGAAATAAGTCAGTTGGGTTACAGTATTATTCATGGCAGGAATTTTTTTATGAATTTGTGAATATAGTTTAACCACAAATTTAAGTGTTCAAAGAAGTAAAAATCTATGGGCAAAAAATTAACTCCATTTACGAAAATTGGTACCCATGAAAATAACTGAATTTACAGTATTTCATGTATATGATGTAAATATAAATCCTTGGTATTGTATATTAAAAGGAATTTTTATAATGCAGATTCATCTAAGAAGTTGAAAGATGTTCTTGAGGATTTACAAATCTCCTGTGATGAGGTAGGTATCTTTGTTGGTTAACTGAATTATTTTATCACCATGATAATGTCCCATAACATTGTATATTTTTTTTTTCTTTTCCATGTTTATAGTTTATTCAAACGTTAATTTAAGAAAGAATGTTTTCTTGTGAATGAATGAAATTTGTTCTTTTTTATTTATTTTTTCATTCATTTATTTATTTATTTTTGGCATGAGGGATTGAGATATTTAAGAATTGAATGCTTCTTTTTGTAAATTTATTGGGGTGTAAAAGCGTTGACCGAAGTACATTTTGTATGAAGCGCAGAAGCGCTTCATTCTAAAAATGTGCGCACGGTCAACGCTTTTACAACCCAATAAAATTACTAAAAGAAGCATTCAATACTTATAATTATCTTTTTTTTTATAGGAATTAAATACTTTTTACATGCCTTTTTAGAATGCAAAGAAGGTGGACAGCTACAGAAATAAGTAGTGTTCATACTTCTAATAATCATTAATGGCATCATTTTTGGTGTCATAATGTGTCAAAATATGTTAAAATATGTTTTTTCCTTATCTGACAAGGGAGGCTTAAAGGCAAATAAATTCAGTGCTATAGCATTCCAACAACACAAAATATGAAAACAACACTTAAAAAATGTAAATTTCGTGCGTTCAAAGCGCTTTTCTGGATTTACCTTCATCAGGAACGCTCAAAGCAGAATATTTGAAAGTCAAGGATGTATATGTACCAAAACAGTTGATGAGCTTTATGACCAAAAAGAACATAAAAATAACATCCAAATTCATCTCAGGTTAACTTTGCATGAGTGAGTAAGTAATCACAAAATGAGACAAAGAGTTATCAGAAATGGTATATTCTAAGGTGGCTTTTTTTGTGTCATATGATGGTTTGCTGAAGTCAATTGGGTACAAATGTTTGTTTTATTCTGTATATTTCTGTGTTTTGGAATCGGCCAGATAAACCCCAAAATAAATATCTTAATGTAACTTCAATTAGTATTTAAATATAAGAGGATTGAGGGGATTTTGTACAATAATTAAGGGCAGAACCAGGCTAGGATCCAGTGTAATTAAATTTCACAGATAAATGTTGTCAGGTGATCTAAAGAAAAGAGTACAAGAAGTATTTTGGACTGATATTCTTATTAAAAAAAAAGAAAATCAGTTATATAGTATAAATATTAGAGCCTTATGAGCCACAGCAGATAATAAATGACATTGTTTCTTGCCATGAAGGCTGGATTCACAGAGTCTATTTTTATGCATCTGGGTAAACATTTTACATTTAGAATATTTCATAGAGGTCAGTGTTAGTTTTTAAGGATGCAGAAATCAATATTCACTGAGGCCATTAACTGATATTAATATTGGTAACTTTAGTCCATAAAAAACTCATACAAAATATATAATTAAAACGGAAACTGAGTCGATAAGTTTTCTTATTCAAACAATATCCTAATCAACAGACTGTTATCTGACCGAATCGTTACCGATACAATTATGAATTTATAATTATCATAGAATAATTATAGGTAAAAACATTATGTTAATGATTTTTGAGAAACATCTTTTTGTGCTAGGATTTAATGAAAATTGATATAAAAGATAAAAAGATGCTTTCCGAAATTCTTTATTAGTAATAAAAATTATCCATAGGTTGCCATTGAAGAAAATACATGAAAATTCAGACCTGAAATTATAGCAACACAGACATATGTTAATGTATATCAGACTTACTCAGTTATAATTTTAATTACACATATGATTTCTTTATAATTAAATATATGATGTCATTATAATGTTGACTAAATAATTCTTAGAAATATTTTTTGGTCTATTTTGCCTTTTTCTGATTTTTTTGGTTACATTTCTAAACATTGGCAGCTTGCTCTGATTAAAATATCTTTTTTTTTAAATAATAACTGTATCTTAAAAATGTGCCTTTAAGTTAGTAATCTTTTAAGTGATTTATATAATATGTAAATGTTTTTTGTTATTAGCATCATTTGTTGTTGACGGCAAACCCTTGATAGTTTCTATTTAAAGTATTCTACAAATTTCTGAGACTTGTGACAATTTACAGCTTGACATTGTTTAGACACCTCTTTTTTGACAAATGTCTTTATCAAAACTATAAACAGACCAATTGACGTATATCCCTCATCTATTATTCATATATACAACTTAAGAATCGGTTAAATTTTAATTCCTTAATCTTCTAAAATGTTCTTATCCTAAATATAAACTTTTTATATGTATTAAACCAAGCATCAAATACTGTATCATGTATAATATCCTTTATTAATCAAGAAATAAAATAACTTTATCAATATTTAAGGTATAGTATTTCTAACCCCATACTATACATTATATGATACAAACAATAATAACAGATAATATTATCTATACTGATATAATAAACGTATTGATGATCTGTTATTAACAAATAATATTATCTATACTGATAGACTACAAACATATTGATGATCTGTTATTAATTTGTAAATCTTTTGTTCTTCATAGCTTATTTTCTTGTGTAACTCTATCTGAGTCACAAAATAAAGATTTGATTGAATTTTATAATATGGCAATATCTTTTTGGTTTGTCTGATATAAGAGAGGGGAAAGATACCAAAGGGACATTCAAACTCGTTAGTCGAAAAATAAACTGATAATGCCATGACTTAAAAAAAAGACAAACAGACAAACGGTATACAAAAATAAGGAGATGTGGTATGATTGCCAATGAGACAAAATCCACCAAAGATCAAATAAAGTGGATGTAAGCAATTAAAACCGTACGGCCTTCAACAATGAGAAAAACTTATACTGTATAGTCGGCTATAACAGGCCCCGACATGAAAAATATGTAACAATTCAACTGAGAAAACTAACCGCCTAATTTATAACAAAATAATTTAAGAAAAACAAATATGACAGACATGAACCAACGACATCCACTGAACTACAGGCTCCTGACTTGGGACAATAGACTAAAGAATGTGGCCGGCTTAAACAGGTTTGTGAGCTCTCAACCCTTCCCCTAACAGTGGTGTAACAGCACAACATAAGAACAAACTACATGTATAAAAGTCAGTTGAAAAAGGCTTAACTCATCAGATCAATACAAAGCATAAAAACATCAAACAAAAACACAGACCAGACATGGTAGGGTACTTATCCATCCCTCATCCCCAACAACAAAAATGACACTAAGTACAGATCTGAGAGTACTCGCAGTTACTGACAGCTACTTCAAAGCCAATAACAACCAAAATATCAATAAGTATGCTGACTTTTGAATTAAAAAAAATCAAAGTACCAGCAGTATTCAGTATTCTAGGATATTTTTACACCATATAAAGATATGATTACCATGTTTTTTGTGGTCTATATATTTTGTTTGCAAAAAAGAGGGAGATGATACCAGGGGGGTTAGGGGGGCAACAAAAAATCTTAAATTGAATAAAATAAGACAACACCGTATCTCCCTTAAAAAAGAAAAAGACGAAAACATAAACAAGACACAACACAGAAAACTAAAGATTGGCAAACACAAACCCCTCAATACAAGGGGTTAACTCAGGTCATCAGGAGGGAAAGTAATTTGTAATGAAATGAGCAACATTATTAGTGCCACATGTGGAGCAGGATCTGCTTACCTGAGATAACTTAGTTGCTGGTTGGGTTCATGTTGTTAAAGTCAATCTTTAGTTTTCTATGTTGTGTTTTGAAAACTATTGTTCGTCTTTTGGTTTTCATAGCGTTGTCAGTTTGTTTTTAAAACGTATCAGTTTGAATATCCCTTAGGTATCTTCCACTTCTCTTTTATGCCTCTGTAGTCTGTAGTCTGTCATAAACATGAGAAAAGTCAATGGTTTTACCCTGTAGAGAAAAGTCCAATGTTAAATGTGAAATCCAGAAACCCCACAAATAATAAATTTCAAAAGGAATACAATTTATTTTTATGTATTTTCAGCCCATGTTATATGATGGATTTAAAAAGTTTATGGACAGCTATATGGAGGCAGAGATACCAGAGGAATTATGTAAACATTTGTTTTTATCATTAATGAAAAAGCCAAGTGGACAAACAACAACTGGTAAGGATTATCACCATGTCAGAGATGTTGCTGCTGTCACGGCAACACAGACAGTCTGTGCTCCCATAACGCACCTTGGTGCAGATATACATATTGACAAAGGCGAAAAACACCAAGGCTTTGTAGAAAAAATTCATGGTTTGACAGAAAAACTCCACGGACTAGGTCTCCATGGTGAGAAAGGTCATAGTCGTCATGACAGCGGGGAGTCTGGGAAACGTAGTCGAGCAGGTATCCCTTTGATGGCTGCATGTGATTTGTTGTATCAGTTATGTAGTTACATATCAGTGCAGAATGGAATCGTTTCTTTTTTTTACAAAAATATTTAAAAAATTTAAATGTTAATCTTGCTGTTATATGCATGTCTTGTTTCTGCTCTCAGTTCTAATATTTTCTTCTATATGTTTGATGGCTGTGGTTCCTTTTTGTAGCACCTGACACTTAATATTACTTTTGAAGTTGCAGTGCCGTTTACAGTTTGCAAAACACCTCAATATCTTATTCCAAGTTTCACATCAGTTTACAAAAATTGATGTATTTGTTGTTCATAATTGGATATTGTCATCCAATCATTGTCATCTGACCTAATTTTCATGCTCTAGTGGTCAGGTTAAGTTTTCAGGATTAGGTCTGTTCCTCACCAGCTATACACGATATGTCAAAATTATTGTAAGTTCAGAAACTATTGCATGCACTTTATTCTGATTTCTTAAGAATGGACAAAAAAGCGAGAATAATTATTGTGATTTTATAAGGAAAATCCCCATACAAATCCATGTATCAATTCAGAATACAAATTCTTATTATTGTGATACTTACCCAGTCCCATTATTGTCATTAATAAAAACCTCGCAATAATTTCTAAACAGTATTTTATATGTGGATAACAGTGGATTATTTTTGAGGGATATTTGCCCTTGTGACTTATGCCACATGGCCTTGATCTCATTTGAATGCTTCAGTATTTTTTTTCAGTACAAAATATATTCTTTCTGGTAACTTTGGTAACTTTGAATGATAGGTCAAAAGTATTGCATAAGTGAACTGGCTGTTATGGAAATACATTTGTCTCTGACTTATGTCATATGGCCTTGATCTCATTTTGACACTCCAGTGATCAGAATAATTTCTTGGATTTAGTCTGCCACAGCTATATATATACATGACTGGTCAACAATATTTAGAATATTAGTTGTCTTGATAATTTTACCTGTGGTTCATTTGTTTTCATGGGTTTTACCTGTGGTTCATTTGTTTTCATGGGTATCAATTTTCGTGCAGAGGAAAACATCTGTTTTTGTGGATACCAGATTTTGCTGTTCTTACACATTTTGTTTACAAGTCTTTCCAAAGCTTGTTTTATTTAACACTGAAATAAATTTACCTTTACCCACAAAATCAACAAAAAAAAGTACCCCATGGATAATAATGAATCCACAATATATCTGTCTGACATTGGCCTTGACATCATTTACATGTTCTAGTGGTCTATTTTAATGAATAAGATCTATCTCAGAAACCAAACATGATAGGTCTTTGGTATTGGAATTCAATACATGCACCTGAGCATTTGTACCTGACTGGTTTCATATAATTTTGATCTCTGAGAGTTTAATTTCATTAAAAGTAATTCTGGTAATACAGTAGGCTAGACATAGTTATGTGTCCACTCTGTTTTTTTTTTTTGAATTATGTGTCATCATGATTGTATTGATTTAAATATTTTTTGATTTCATAGTCATAAAAATAAACACAAAATTATGGGTTCAAAGTACAGTCCTGTAATTCGGGTGACATGGGAGATAAAATACAATCTGCAGTTGATAGATAAATTCTTCCTTTTCCTGGTATGGTTTTATTATCTAGATAAAATATCAGTTTATCCTAATATATTTACTTTACGTCAATAACAATCAAGGTTAAGATTAGAATAGTTTTTATATAAATGGTTACATATTTTTTAGTACTTCATATTTGAGGCCTTTAGGGGGTCTAAATACCCATTATAGTCCATTTCTCAAAGTTGTGCAATGAATAACTACTGTAAATATTTTTTATTTCCCTGAAAATGTTATATATCCCAAATAAAGAAACAAAATGTGATATCCCCAAATAAAGAAACAAAATGTGATATCCCCAAATAAAGAAATAAAATGTTATATCCTCAAATAAAGAAATAAAATCTTATATCCCAAACTAAAGAAACAAAATGTTATATCCCCAAATAAAAAAAAACAAAATGTTATATCCCCAAATAAAGAAACAAAATGTTATATCCCCAAATAAAGAAACAAAATGTTATATATCCTCAAATAAAGAAATAAAATGTCATATCCCCAAATAAAGAAACAAAATGTTATATCCCCAAATAAAGAAACAAAATGTTATATCCCCAAATAAAGAAACAAAATGTTATATCCCCAAATAAAGAAATAAAATGTTATATCCCCAAATAAAGAAATAAAATGTTATATCCCCAAATAAAGAAACAAAATGTTATATCCCCAAATAAAGAAACAAAATGGTATATCCCCAAATAAAGAAACAAAATGTTATATCCCCAAATAAAGAAACAAAATGTTATATCCCCAAATAAAGAAACAAAATGTTATATCCCCAAATAAAGAAACAAAATGTTATATATCCTCAAATAAAGAAATAAAATGTCATATCCCCAAATAAAGAAACAAAATGTTATATCCCCAAATAAAAAAAAACAAAATGTTATATCCCCAATTAAAGAAACAAAATGTTATATCCCCAAATAAAGAAACAAAATGTTATATCCCCAAATAAAGAAATAAAATGTTATATCCCCAAATAAAGAAACAAAATGTTATATCCCCAAATAAAGAAATAAAATGTTATATCCCCAAATAAAGAAACAAAATGTTATATCCCCAAATAAAGAAATAAAATGTTATATCCCCAATTAAAGAAACAAAATGTTATATCCCCAAATAAAGAAATAAAATGTTATATCCCAAAATAAAGAAACAAAATGTTATATCCCAAAATAAAGAAATAAAATGTTCCCAATTAAAGATTATCTCATATTATAGTTATACATACTAGTTGACATCTGATGTGTGTATATATATTGCCCTTTGTTACAAGACAAAATACAAAAGCAGTATTTCTCCCAGAATTTTTCTTGTAAAGATTATGCTGGTAAACTGTGTATTTTTTGTTTTGTAAATGTACTTAAGAGGTTTCTTATATTCAGGACAAGTACTGGGCTCTGTTCCACTGTTTAAAAGCACTGCGGTTAAATTTTGTAGCTGTTTATAAAATTCTTGTCAAGGAAATATGGGACAAAATGAATAGAAATTTAATATTTGTTTTGTTGATTTAGAGCTTGACATATTGTGTGGACAACTGTCCGCTGTTGAAGATTTAAATTTGACCTCTAGATGTCTTTTGGTTATTTGTTCATTGGGGTTGGTGTTTCATTGAAAAATACCCCAGATCTCCCTAAGGGTCTTGGTAGCCTATGGCAGTTCCATTCGACTTCAATCAAACCTGTCAACACTGAGGTTGTGAGGTTGACCTTGCACATGGCAGTTGTATTTGACTTCAATCGAACCTGTCAACACTGAGGTTGTGAGGTTGACCTCGCACATGGCAGATGCATTAGACTTCAATCGAACCTGTCAACACTAAGGTTGTGAGTTTGTCCTCACACATAGCAGGTGCATTCAACTTCAATCGAACCTGTCAACACTGAGGTTGTGAGGTTGACCTCGTACATGGCAGGTGCATTCAACTTCAATGGAACCTGTCAACACTGAGGTTGTGAGGTTGACCTCACACATGGCAGATGCATTCGACTTCAATCGAACCTGTCAACACTGAGGTTGTGAGGTTGACCTCGCACATGGCAGATGCATTAGACTTCAATCGAACCTGTCAACACTGAGGTTGTGAGGTTGACCTTGCACATGGCAGATGCATTAGACTTCAATCGAACCTGTCAACACTGAGGTTGTGAGTTTGACCTCACACATGGCAGGTGCACTCGACTACAATCTTAATTGACTAGGATTGCCAGTTTTCCTGCTGAAGGTCAGTCAGGCTTCCTCCACCCCACAAATAAAAAACTGGCCACAGCAAAATAGCCAATAGTGCTGAAAGTGATGTTAAACACCATCAATCAATCACATCTCCATTCATGCATGAATATAAATAGTGCCAATCTGTCTTCCTACCTAATGACATTTCTTTTTAAAAGCTACAGGTAGCTTCAAATGTTTCTTCAAGAACATGAATGTAAAATGCATGCCTTCTTTGTTTTCAAGTTGCATGACTGTTTTTCATTGGCCATGGTGGCTCTGTAGATATATGTTGTATTGTGGAAGCCATTTTAGATGTTAAAGATGTTCTGTGTTGCTGTAATGACACGATGAAAGCCAACTCTATCTATCAGGTCAAATCATGTAAAAGGATGAGTGTATATATATTTAGTACTGTTATTTGCAACTGAACTGTGATTAAAGATGCTGCAAGTGGCTAATTTCCATTGAATAAATTTCACAGTTTCTAGAGCCAAACCTGTTTGTGAGGTTTTACTTTCAAGTCAACATTTTGTTTTTAATTAGGGCTTTGCCTACTAGTGGTGCCCTGTAGTATTCACTCTGTCTGTCCATCTGTTCGTCCATTAGCATTTGTAGTTCATATGAACAATTGCCTCAACTGATTTTAATAGTTTTCATATGTAGTCTTTATATTTGTAAAGGGAAAATCTTTAACGTTTGGGTAAATTGTATGAAAATATTTCAGTAAATTTGGAAATTTAGGTAAAAACTTTGAATTTTTGTTAAAAAATCAAAAATTTTAAGAAATATCATTTTGTGCTAGGATTTCAACGGAAATTGAAGTATACATGTAAAAGAATATAATCTCAATTCCAATTAATTCTAGGTCTCAGTAGTTGATTTTTGTGAAATTAGAAAAAAAGATATGTGGTAAAAAGAAGTTTTTATAAAAAAGCAAAAATTTTTAGAAATATATTTTGGGGTTAAGATTTATGCAAACTAGTATGTACCAGTAGGTATAATATGCTGTTCCAAATTAATCATAGTGTAAAAAATTATCTGCCTGCTTCCAAATTGCTGCCAAATGCATAAAATTTTATACTGCCCAGCTTTTAATGAAACTTGATATTTACGTAGAACATATCTTGAACATCTACTTGTATTTATTATTTGTTTCTTTGCCTCAAACAAAAATGTGTTGAGGTCAACATTTAGTCTTCAACAATAGTTGTATGTGTGGAGGTCAACATGTAGTCTTCAACAATAGTTGTATGTGTGGAGGTCAACATGTAGTCTTCAACAATAGTTGTAGTCTTCAACAATAGTTGTATGTGTCAAGGTCAACACTTAGTCTTCAACAATAGTTGTATGTACATTAAATCATCCAATATTGTACACCAATATGCAATAACAGGGGACATCATGTTTGTCTAAATGGATAAGAGGGTCAATTTTTAGTCCAACAGAGGTAATCCTAATTTTATTGAATTATTAATGTACAAAAATAGTGTAAAGTAAGAAATCTTAGAACATCTTTTAAACAGAAAAGTTAGAAGATAGGACTTTTAAGTGTATATGGTTTTAAACTTTACAATTATATAATTGATCACAATAAGTAAACATGAATTCCAACTTAGATAACCCTAATTCTATTGAATTATTGATGTATGAAATGGTTTCAGGTATAAATCTAAGAAAGTCTTTCAACAGAATAGCAAGAAAATAGGACTGTTTCATGCCTTCCATTTAAAACTTTACAATAATGCACGTATTGATACTGATATGTAAACTAGAAAATCACAGTTATCAAACATGCTGAATAATCAAAGGAACAATTTAAAAATTACTGATTTGGAACATAATTTCAATGGACATTCCATTTGATACATCTAAAAATTCCCATAATTTTATCAGAAATCTCATTTGACTGGATCAACAATTGTATAACTGGATTTGACCATTAGACCAAAGTCTTTTACAATACTCTGGAATACCAGGAAAATAACTAAGTAATACCTTTTTTGTATATTTGAAACTGAATCATGGGGAAAACATATCGTAAATTTGAATACTTTTTTTTCAACATTATGGTATTATGTGTACTTTTTGAAGTATTTTCTTCCAATAATTTTAAATGCTGGAATAGAGATGAATAAAAGGAAACGTGGGGAATATGTCAATGCGACAGCAACCAAACAACACACAAATTAACGAGAGGTTAACATACAGTCACCATCAGTTGACAGCTGTCTTTACTATATGTCAAGCTCTGAAGAATTTAATTTGAAATTTTTTAATTCAGATTTGCCCATGTTTAACCAAATGTTGACTGTCTCAACCAATGAAAATCGCTATGATTTGTCATGTGTCATCGATGTTGTTTAAATGGATCGATTTTACCCCTTATTTTCAAAACCTTGAAGTAGATAATAGATAGAGGATAATTAAGTCTCTTGTTTAATGAAAATGAAGAGATTTCTGACTTAGGGAATGGGTATAAAGTTCTAATATTTTTGGATCAGTCACATGACAGGTTATTTGTATGATCTCACATCAGTGATATTAATACTGTAGATTCAATACTATTTGTGGGAAACCAATTTTCATGGATTTCATAGGTAAAGATAATTCATTAACTTAAACGTTCAACAAAGTTCAAATTTTCTATAGGTTTGTAAGCAGACTATTTTCAAAACAATGAAATTAAGTATACAATTACAATTATTCCTCAACCCACAAAAAGTGGTTCCCATGAAAATAAATGAATCCACAGTATATTAAATATGATTGTTTGATGGAACCTACTTATCTAAAGGAGATGCTAAAACCTGACCAAATCAAGTGGTACGTGGTGAAGTTCTTATGTAGGAAGTATGAAAATTTAGTAGGCTATTCTGTTCAGTGCCAGGGGATTTAATAACTAAAAAGAAACATAACAACTGATGAAATATGAATATTAGGAAAAAAAAATTTTGATAAATTTATGATATAATCATCGCCTACAATTATGGCCTTCAGGATCTTGATATGTAGTAATGTTGGCGCTGTGTTTCTGTATGAGTCAATCTGACAGACAATTAAGCAAAAACTTTATTGGGTAGTGGTGATGCAACAACCACGCTCTGGACCATCATACATAATTAATTTTAATTCTATTTTATGATGACAGAATATTATAAATGTCAACCATTAAATATTAAGTAGATGTGGGAGTAAGAATAGACATTATGTAAGATTAATTTGACAGATTATGCTTCTATTATCATGATTTCTTATGAAAAGACCTTGGAACCTGACATTTTATGTACTAAATTAAATCTAAAATAAAATGCACGTCTGAAATAGAAATTAATTGCTACACAAATTTTTTTGGGTGCAAGCTTTGGTAGATACTAGAATTTATGTACCTAAGACAAATTTTCCTGAAAGAGAGTTCAATTTTTAAGAAATAATTCATTGGGGCTTGAATATATACTGATTTTACCACAGGTTGGCCTTTATACTGAATAATGTACCTTGAGCAATAGCATAAAGGGCAAACCTCAGGAAAAAAATCAGTATAAATTCAAGCCCCCATGAATTATTTCTATTCTAATAGGACAAATACAGCTATTGTTTTGGATTGAAGCACTCTAGGTGAAGGCAAATATTTGCTGCTCCCCTAATTAAACAAACTATTAATATTGACGTAAAAGACAATGAAACCTGAATTAGTAACATGCTTAATGATTTACGATTACATTCATGTACTTAAGACAGGTTTGGACAAAGTCTAATGCTTATCTTACTTTTACTTAAGAAAATAAGCTTTCAACAAATTTTTATCATCGTTTGTTTACGTTTCAGTGTTTTGCTGACTTTCAGTTTCACATTTGTTCATTTTTCCGTGGAATGCTTAGATTTTTATGTCATCGTTCAATGACATCATTCACACTCACTTTCAGTGTCTGACCTGAGGTAACTCTTTCATACAAAGCATACTACGTGGGAGTAAGATTGGAACAGCTCAAATAAATTATGACGTTACAGATCAGCTGACATATCAATATTTTCATATTTTACCACAAGCGTGTACTCAAAGGTTTTGAAGAACGTAATTTTAGAATTACCTCTTTAATTTGAAAAATTAAGATCATGCATTGATCTAATAAATGATTTTTATGCCCCTGCTGTAGCGAAGGGGGCATTAAGTTTTACCCTTGTCCGTCTGTACGTCCGTCTGTACGTCCAAAAGTTGGTTTCCGTTTCCTAACTTTAGTTTGCCTCAATCAAATGCTTAATACCACAAAACACAGATCAAGTTTGAATTTTGGTGGCATCACTTTAAAGGTTCTAGAGTAATGCCCCTTTACAAATGGAAAAATTGCTGAATTTTTCGTTTCCATTCTCTAAATTTAGTTTGCTTCAACCAAATACTATGAAACTTATACACAATACTTATAACCACAAAACACAGATCAAATTTGAATTTTGGTGGCGTTACTTTATCTGTTCTACAGTTATGCCCCTTTACAAATGGAAAAATTGCTGAATTTTGTTTCCGTTCTCTAACTTTAGTTTGCCTCAACCAAATGCTATCAAACTTATTCACAATGCTTATTACCACAAAATAAAGATCAAGTTTGAATTTTGGTGGTGTCACATTTATTGTTCTAGAGTTATGCCCCTAAACAAATGGAAAAATTGCTGAATTTTTCGTTTCCGTTCTCTAACTTAAGTTTGCCTCAACCAAATTTTGTGAAACTTATACACAAAACTTATTACCACAAAACTCAGATCAAGTACAAATTTGGGTAGCGTCACTTTTACTGTTCTTCAGTTATGTCCCTTTATTACTTTATATGATATGCAAGCGGGGGCATCATCTGTGTCCCATGGACACATTCCCCATTTATTTTTACTCTTTTTATTTCATATAATTTATATGACAAAAAAAAGAAACCTAATGAAGGGTTCTATTTGACCTTAAATTTAAAATGTTACCGAAAAAAAAGTGTGACGTTTATGTAATTAAGGTTAAAAGCAACTATTATTGTCTTGCTAAACAATAAAATCCAGTTGCATGCAACCAATGAAATGTGACCTCAGTTTGATATCTATTGTGCATGTTGTCAACAAGTTCAGTGTTTGAAAAGGATATTAGTTAAAAAAAAGTAAAAATAGGAAAGCAGGCAGGAAGACCTATTTCAATGCCCAATCGACTGCAAGAATAAACCTTTCTCGTATGTGTAAAATGAATTACACCACAGTTGAATATTTTAATCTATGATATGAAATCAAATCGAACTATAAGACAATAACAAGTCATTATATTATTAGGCATGTATACCTTGAAATCCATGTCTGTCTATTTATATTTATATCAGGATCACATGCCCTTCAACAATCTTCAGAGGTCGTGTTGATAGTTTATTAGAAGTGGTCCAGTCCAAAAAATATGCATGAAATTGTGATATTGTATAATGATTTCATGCATTGTTTATTGTTTCCTGGGAACTTGTAATTGTGATATATATTTTGATATGATATAAATTAAATTTGAGAGTGCGAGACAATTAGGTGGGCATGAATTTTGTAGCTTATGTCACTTTAATTTTAATTTTATAGAAATATTTAATTATCTACAGGGTCAACATCAGCATCGACACATCCTGCAGTTGCTGTAACAGCCAATCCTGCCGTGGAGAAATCGTTAGCAGCTGGGGACGATTCTGCACCAGATGTATCCACTCATTCTAGATCATCATCAAAAAAGTCCAATCACAGTGTTAATACTATACATAATGGTAAGTGGTCTATTCACAGTGTTAATACTATACATAATGGTAAGTAATCCAATCACAGTGTTAATTCTATACATAATGGTAAGTGGTCTAATCACAGTGTTAATACTATACATAATGGTAAGTAATCCAATCACAGTGTTAATTCTATACATAATGGTAAGTGGTCTAATCACAGTGTTAATACTATACATAATGGTAAGTGGTCTAATCACAGTGTTAATACTATACATAATGGTTAGTAGTTCAATCACAGTGTTAATACTATACATAATGGTAAGTGGTCTAATCACAGTGTTAATACTATACATAATGGTAAGTTGTCCAATCACAGTGTTAATTCTATACATAATGGTAAGTGGTCTAATCACAGTGTTAATACTATACATAATGGTAAGTAATCCAATCACAGTGTTAATTCTATACATAATGGTAAGTGGTCTAATCACAGTGTTAATACTATACATAATGGTAAGTGGTCTAATCACAGTGTTAATACTATACATAATGGTTAGTAGTTCAATCACAGTGTTAATACTATACATAATGTAAGTGGTCTAATCACAGTGTTAATACTATACATAATGGTAAGTTGTCCAATCACAGTGTTAATTCTATACATAATGGTAAGTGGTCTAATCACAGTGTTAATACTATACATAATGGTAAGTGGTTCAATCACAGTGTTATTTGTAAACATAATGGTAAGTAGTTCAATCACAGTGTTAATACTATACATAATGGTAAGTGGTCTAATGACAGTGTTAATACTATACATAATGGTAAGTAGTCCAATCACAGTGTTAATAATGTAACGTGTACACAGGGTAAGCGTGTCTATTTTTATTATAGAATAGGTTCGTTACCAGTTTGATACTGTATTTTGAAATGTTCTATTTACAAAGTATATGAATTTTTCACCAAATAATTTATATCCATAAAATTATGTCAATGAACTAAAATATATACAACTGCTCTTGCTTTAACAGTTAAATTTATCTATACATTAATCATTCCACTTTAAAATATATACAAATGATACAAATTTGTACAAATACCAATTTGTCCTTGGTCAGGGACAAACTTGTCCTAATGGTACATTTTAGTACCCTACAAGCTGCAACTTGTCCTTATGGTACATTTTAGTACTCTTATATAAAGTAAAAATTATACTTGACAAACTACAACTTATACAAGCCTTAAAGAACAGGCACCAACCTTGTCCTTTGTTGCATTACAATCATGAATGAAATTCTAAATTAGAGAATACAATCTCTAATAATCATGTACCATACATATCATGGCCAACTTCTTCGTAGACTTCAGACGAATGACAAAGAGCAAGGAATCGCGCCTGCTTATATACCATAATGGTAGCCGTACCATTCTTGAAGGAAGTGCCTCATTACTTGCATTATAGATTCCTGTGGAACACCCCTTCACATTTGGCCTGACCCAAGGTTTTCCCCGCCAAATATCTTATTCTTTTCTAAGTTTTATTAAAGTATATACAAATACATAAAATAAGGCTTCTGCCGAACTGTAACTAAGGTAAACTATCTAACCTAAGATACAAAATCATCACAATAAGCCCGAGATCCACAATTAATGACCCCGCTTTTCGTTGTCCACGAATATAGTTCTTTTTAATTAAAGTGTATTTTTTCTTTATTTTTTTTCTTTCACTTTCTCATTCATTTCTTAGTTTTTATGGGGTGGAAATGAAAGAAGAGAGCTGAAATAAATTTTTGGATGTTGTATTTTAACTGATTTTGATATGGAAAGAGTGATTAGGCCAGGTGCAAAAAGGTAATATTTAGAATTTTCGGAACATCTCTTGACTTGTCCATAGGGGTATCATGGGTATGCATGTGTATCGGCTAAATTTGTAAGGTGTAAAGGTGCAATCTTTCTGAATGTTGGGTATATTTTTGTACTAGTACTGTACATTACACACACAAAAGACTTGACAAAAAGACTGGGTGCAATTTTTTAAATGAGACAAAACGCTATAAAGAACTAATAGAGGAATTTAATTGTGGTCTGTGGCCAAAGGTATACATAATGGTACATTGTCTAATCACAGTGTTAAAACTATACATAATGGTCAGTGGTTCAATCACAGTAATAAAGTCTTATCAGAAATATCTTATTATCACCTTGAGGCTTAATTGAGGGGGTTAGAAAATCTAGGAAATTTTGTATTATGGCCTATTGTGCATTTTCTAAGTTAGGTCCCTTTATTTATTTTGTGTTTTTTTGTGCTTTTAAGATAAGGATGACGCTCTTTAGTAGCCTCCATTAGATTTATTCATAACTTGTCAAGACCTACATTGTATGAAGCATAAGAGCTTTATATGATATATACTTTTACTTATTATTAAAGACCATAACCTTGATACTCGAGTAAAAGTCAATCCGCTTATAAGTCAGCTGACATTTTCACGTCAGAAATCCAAGACTTAAGACCCTCATACAAGTCAGATGATTTTTGCCATTTTTTCAGATGGAAAAATTGGCTGGTACATTTTGTGAGAATAACCTATAGCTACTCACATATAAGTTGGTAAATTGGAAACTAACTGTTTGTTGTTTATCATTTTGTAAAGATACAATGTAGAAAACTCAACAAATTGAATATCCTCAAGGAGGAGATCTGGTCAGAGCCATTATTTGGCCCCTGAAATTGCAATAGTAGTATAATTTTTCAAGCCGGTCAAAGTAAGGGTTATTTCATTGCTAAATTGTTTATATATTCTGGACATTTTAGTGCCAAAAGGACACCCTGACTCCCCTTCCCTTGAAATAAAATAACTCGAGTTGATATGAAGCAATATCCAATTCTCACGAGTTGTTTAACCTATTTCTCTTATGGTGAACACTCTCATTGTGTTAAATGAAAAATTCTGCGAATTGTTGAAATAGTCTTTTGCACATACCAGTATGAGGTCATATGTCCTGTTCCAGCGTCCAACTTTAACATCAGACATTTTAAAACTTTTTTTATGCCTCAGAATTTAATAAAATTTGACAAAAAGAAGATTTTCAGGTGAAAAGTGTGCGTGTAATGTTTGTTATTGAAGAAATCACATATGCCCATTGCCATGGACCAAATGTACTTCGTCTTAACCCTTGAAAGTCATCAATGAACTTATGAATAGCCAATGGAAATGTCATAATATCGTGTCATGATGATGTATAAGCCAATCAAATTAACACAGTTTTCGTATCACTTTTTCGTATCACACTTCGTGCAATGTGATATTAGAAATATCTCTTCATACAAAAAATAGATAACAGGCAACAACCATAAGAGAAAAGGAATTTATCTTGAAAAATATATTTATGTCATATGTTTTTTGACCTGGAAAATGGGTTCAGTTTCTTGATATTTTGTATGAAAGCAGTTTAAATACTAAGTAAAAAAAGGTCAATGTTAATTGTGTGTTGATGGCAAAAATGAAATGGATTTGAGACAAGATTTTTTTCTACTGTCATATATGTATATGTCTTTTATTGACTTGGTTTTAACATTTTTTGTCCAAATGTATATTTATATGGAAGACTCAAATCTTAACCAGCAACCAGATGTTAATACAGCTTTAATATAAAGAGTTGACTGTCTAATCTATATTTCGTTACCGATTTATTGTCATTCCATATTCAATTATTGAACTGACCATCAAATGACAAGCAACAACAGCAAATCTATAAATAGTAACACATAATACGACAAAAATGGTGTAGATCATGGAGCCTAATTCCTTTGTTTTACTTGGAGTAAGAAAATGAATGGTTTTGTCATTGATTTCCGATAAATCCAGTATTCCAACATACGGCAGAAGTCGTAGAGATCGTAAGGTAGATACACCAGAGGTTAATCACATCTAGAGTAGGATACTTAATAAAATAACAAGACATTATATTGTCCGTTTATAACATATTTAATCATAATTCTGACATGTTTACTACCGAATTAACAATTGATTTCTGAGCTTTCTTTAGGGCAAAAGAACAGGTTAGGTTGTTGTAATGGTATTAGTTTATTTCTAATAGACACATAGTCAAGAGTGTAAGCAAGACAAGTAAATGGAGACATTTATTTACATAAGTGTGACTTTCAAATTAAAAGTTGTTTTGTTTTGATCTATGTATGAGCTAAAAGCAGAACTATATATTTAGGTATATCTTTGACACTTGTAATGATAGATTGTCTAAATTATGCAATTATATATATGTTAGCCATGAAAGTGGGAAGACCAAATTAGGAGTTTTTTAGGACCTACAAACTATTTTTGTTTCATTGTTATACTGTTATTTTTACAGTTCATTAGAGATTTATTTGTGTAATTGTGAATTAGATGTCAGATTTTGTAGTATGTTAAAACGTCTTTTTCCATTTCATTGTCACATTTATTGTCAGATTTTCAGCAAAACTTTAGATATTTATTTATATAATGTAAATACCAAACTATCAGATAGATTTTAGGTGTTTTGTAAGATCTATTTGTAATTCTGCCAAATATAAAAGTAATACTCTCTCAGGCCAAAATGATTTTCATAGCCCCTTTTGGATTTTATTATCTAAGATAAGTAATCTTTTTGGCTTCCATATTCTATGAAGACAGATGACTTGTCCTGTCACCTGGCAGATCAAAGTGACCAGAGTATCCCATGATATATTCCATTTTGGCTTATCCTCTCACCTTGCAAATCCCAGGGATCAGAGTATCACATGATATATTCCATGAAGTCAGGTGACTTAACCTCTCACCTGGCATATCCCAGGGACCAGAGTATCACATGATATATTCCATGAAGACAGTTGGCTTATCATCTCACCTGGCAAATCCCAGGGATCAGAGTATCACATGATATATTCCATGAAGAGAGAGGACTTATCTTCTCACCTGGCATATCCCAGGGACCAGAGTATCACATGATATATTCTATGAAGTAAGGTGACTTAACCTCTCACCTGGCAAATCCCAGGGACCAGAGTA